ATAGCGAATAGTTCAGTGCACGGTTTTGCTGGTGTAACATTCATTCTTACACTCCACGTGATTTTGTCACTATAGACAAAAAAGGAAAAACCAGATTAAACTGCCATTTTACATTTGAAAAAATTAACCGCTCAGGCCTACAGCTTTAGTGGTCAATTCATACGCATCAAAACTCCAAACCGGTGTTAAATAGCCGATAAACACCGCTAAGACCGAAATTATATCTTAAATTGTCAATCCCGTGTTTTGAAGAAAAAAAAATGTCCCGTAGACTGGCGCATATTCCAAAGAAATTGATGCAGAAATGAAATCCTTAGGCTATTTTTTTTCTAATCCAGCATTCTATTTGTCTTGACAATGATGTCGAAAATAGCGTCAAGTTCATGTGGTATTGCTACACTGAATATGAAGCAACTTTGTTTATAATTCAGTGCCAATATTGTTGAAGCTTAAACATTCGTATCTTTCTGCATGCTGCTTTACGGCCTAAGGGAACTAAAGTTGGTTGAATATTTAATCACCTTCATTTGGGTTTAAATTAAGCTACATTTTAAAATTACTTTGGTATGCATATATCCATTGGGGTCAATATTGAGGCACTTTGGTAAAAGAAAAATATCACTTCCGTAGCTATTTTGTTCGAATACAAAGCAATCTTTAAGAAATGTCTTGCTTCTATCGTTTTACAATTTGTCCAGTTCGTATATCTGTGTGCATAAGGTAAATATCTAGCTTTTGGGGCTATATGGCCATAAAAGCTTTAAGGTATTGGATGCCTAATGTAGAATCTCCTTTTTGAAGAGTATTCATTTTCACTGATGGCAAAGAGTTTTGATAGGGCGTGGGTTCAAACCCCAGAGAATGCATATTTTTCTCATTTTTTTTCTCTTTTTCTTCTTCTTTTTGTTTGGTCAGATTTTGATTTTGTTTTCATATAAAATCTGAAATAAAGAAAAAAATAAATTTTTAATATTTTTACTGTGAATTATGTGAAATTGGATAGAGTAACAACCTAAAATAATTATAATTTGAAATCGGCATGGTAAACGTTCTTTATATTTTCACAAATGTTCTACAGAAAATGAAAGCATAGTCTTTGTTGTTGTTGTATCAAACTGATGCAAAGTTAACTTCAATTGTCAATATTTCAAACAAGATGGTAAACTTTTGCATTTTTTTCTATTTTTGTCAAAGGTGATATCAAACTTAGATAAAATCATCATATAATAAGATCCTCTCGGAGTTATGACCTCTTCGGTGCCGGATGTTGTGTGTTATAGGGATATGCGTTCATTACATGCCGCCCTTGTTGATTTTGTTTTTCATATTTTTAAATTTTACTTGCATCCAACAAGCTGCTGGATTAAAAAAAGTCAAAAATTCATCAATGATTACTGTACATTTATATTATGATGTTTAAATGTTGTTTTTTTAGCAATCAGTGAAATCCTCGTAAGTTTTGTGAAAAGATCACATTGACCTTTATTGTTAATATGGTTTTTGACCAATAATTTGACAACAAATTGGTCCTTAGCCCTAATACTTCATAGAAAATTTCGCGGCATCAAAGACCACAATGACGTTTGATGCCAAGAGGGTTTCCGACTAAAAACTCGACAATCCACAAACCGTTTGCCCTAAACTTTTATAGGAACATTGTACATGGGTAGTTCATGACCCCTTTTGATACGTGTTCGCGGGTTAAAAGGTCGGATTATCGTGACTGTATGCCAAAACAGTTTCCATGGTAATAGGTCTGTTAATATTTCTTTTTTAAATTCATGTTTACTTAGCCACCACTTTTACTTCGAAAAAGTAGAGGTATATTGTTTTGCGGCATGATGTCCGTCTGATGTCGATCCGTTTGATTAGTTTAACCATTCTACATTGTTTCCCAACTATGGAAAACAAAATCAGCAAAAAGAGGCGGCATTCAACGGACGCATCATTAAATACAGTACAACTATTAAGAAGCCCAGCAGGACACCAAACAGGACCAGTAACATCTATGTAATTTGTCAACATCTAGTTAGTTTTAGTTACCTTAAAAGTACATAAATGTACTTTAGTCACTATCATTGAAGTCCCTGTGATCTTCATCTATTTGCATGTTAAAGAAGGTTAATAATGGCTGAATATACTTTGATATATTCTAAATATGATGAACAGAAAACTAGACACATATGCAACAGAAGTTGTTTACGAGACATGTCAATATGGTGACAGTTTTCAAGGTAAAATAAAGTGAAACTTAAACATCAGTATTTGTCTCCATGTTGATTTATCGGCAAATAATTACAAAATATATTTTTATGTTAGGATAATTATCTCTCATTTATATATCATTATTTTATTATTTTCAGTTCTGGTCAATATTAAGTCACTTTGATCTATATTTTAAAGATAGTTTGGTATGCATATATCTTTTTTAGTGTATATACAACCACTTTTGTAAAAAAAAAACACCAAAAAAACCCAATCACTTTGAACTTCTCGTAGCTATTCTGCCAAATACAAAGCAAATGATATAAGTAATGACTTGGTTTCATTATTTTACAGTTAGCCCATTTTGTATTACAGAGTCCATAAAGTAAATATCTAACTTTTAAGACTATGCGGCCAAAACAAGTTTAAAACATTTAGTCCAATAATCGAGTATCACTTCGGTCAGATTTTTTGTCATGACTGTCATGCTTGTCATCAATAAAATAGAGGAAAACTGACTCCTGAAGAACGCTTAAAATGACATTATTGAAAATGTTGCAGTCTCATTTTATTTGAGCCTGTTTATAGATGGTACTGGTAATTGTAAGTTACCGTTCTCGCCCTCTAGTACCGGTCGAAGCAGCATTCAACATATAAGAATATCCGCAGATGTGTACATTCGGCTGTATGTACTTTGATTTGTTCTAAATATGCAAACATTTCGACGCAACAGATGTTGTTTTTGAGACACCTCAGTATGATGATAGATTTAAAGGTAAAATAATATTAAATATCAGTTTATGTATGCATGCTACTGTTTAAATGTAAACCTGAATACTTATATTGATCTGTCTCAAATATAGGACGCAGACAACATGATAGACACTTTAAGTCAACGTTAGTTGTTGACGAGCTTCATGGCCTCTTTTTGCAAGACGATATATGTTATGCATATTTTGTACATAAAAATCTGGATGAAGTGTTTACACATTGAATAAAAGGTATAATAATAACCGGTATGTTTCAAAAGTATCTTCTATAGTTTCGAATACATGTAATATAATGTTTATATATTCAAAAATATCTAAATAATGAATTGAGGATAAAATTTATAAATGGGAAGAAAGCATTACCTTATGTAGAGGTACTTAATTGTCAAAGGCATCCATCAAATGTTACATTTCTTGTGTGTTATCAATTGTTGTGTCAAGTGCTGTGTGGCAGCTGTAAAAAGTTGCCCCGTACTTCCCTTCAGTGTTGTTATATTTTTCTGGTCCTTCGGGATCATTGATGCCAGCACTATTAGGTGTTGAGAATTGAGTACCGCTCAAGCGTGAGGGATGTTGCACACATTCATTATCCCTCATGTACAGACTCAATCAAACCGAGTCTGCAATTCTCTTGTAATTTTGTTGTGATTAATGCTTCCGAGGGATCACTTTGTTTCCAGATTTTTATGAAAGCCACTTTTTATTTGGGAATACTCTTACCAGAATATGACATTTGCAGTAGTGTCTTTAGTTAAACACTTCAGGTAATTCAAATGACCTTTCACTAACTGGCAATGTTATATGAGACAAGCATACTGCTTAAGCCATCAAAGAAAAATAATAATTAAAAGTCTATAAGGAAAGATCATGTAGATGACTGATAGCATTGTGTGCAAAAGTCATAATGACCAGGACAGGAAAACAAGTTTCATTTATTACATTTTGTTCATTATAACATTATGTGTAATACTTTGAGTCAAAATAGAGCTAGACGCAAATAGGTTTTCATTATTTCAATACAAAATAAAAAACTTTTGTATCATAAACTAATATAATTCTTCAGCTACAGCAAAAGAACAAAACAGTTTTGTGTTATCATCTCCAAACAATATAGAAATTCAGTTCGATAATGCGTTGAATAAAGATAGATATATCAGTAAAGTAAGTAAATCGTATTTAATTTTTTTATCGAGAAATGTAATTGTCTTATAATTGGTTCACAATGTACGCTGTCCAAGATCAAGACTTGTTGATTTGATATTAATTTTTTATAACCCAGATGTCATACAAACCTTTCTATTAGAAATTAGAAGTAATTCATTATAATAATAGTATCATCAAATAGTATCAATGTATTCAAAATAAAAGAAATTGTCATTAAGGGACTATAAGACATAAATAACATTAATCAAATGTTGAATAAAACATGGTGTGAATTAACTATTATTAAGATATGTTTATTTTCTGAGGTATGGAGAGTTAAAATGTACTAAGTATAAGGTTCAATCAATCAAACCCCTTCATATACCCAACCCCCAATAAAAATATATATTTATATATATAGAGAGACATAGAAACCCATCCCACACCCACCCACCCCCCCCCCCAAAAAAAAAAAAAAAAAACAAGAAAAGAAAAAAAACATAGACACACATACAAAACAGTAACAACACTAATTGACTTATGAATACCATAAGACATATGTTCATGATCAAATTTCGTGACCTTGACAAAATAAATAAATAATAATCACAATAAAAATACATTTGTAATACATGTTAAGTTCAGAAAACAATACAGAAATTTATCTTATAAACATTTAATACGCTAAATATCTTAAATGAACATGTCCATCTTGCAGTCTGGACAAAATTATTTACCATGTAATAAACATTTTTTAAACTGACTAAATATCGGACAATATAGACCTTGGTCATATGTAACATATTATTGTCGGTGTATTGTTTTTCATTATTTACCAGAGCAACCTTGTTGTCTTTAAATTGGTTTATAATATTATCATAAAGTGTGTCATATGCTAAAACGAGACATCTTGTTTTGATATTATATTTACTATCATTCAGATGTCACTCAAATTTAATTTCAGAAATAGGTATAAAAACAGCTTTTTTCAAGATATATTTATTACAGAAGAGTTGTCTTCTAAATAACTACAACTATGGGCTACAAACTTGTATGTGTAATTCTCGGAATATGCTTCATAGCATCTGTATTCAAGTTGGAAGCGGGTGAGTTGTTTATTTGGTACTTATTATAACAAACATCATGTTTAAATCAAAACAATTTTCATAAATAATGTCATTTAATCATTGGTTTAATGTTTTTATTATTTTTTATTCATTAAACGATCTAAAGATGCTTGAAAATTAATACTTTATTTCAAATGTTAATCCAAGGGATTGTAGCCTTGCAATTCATATTCTTACAAAAATACCAAAACATTTAAAAACCTCTTGCGGTCTTATATACCAGCAGCTTGATATTAAAACATTTGCACTTTGGCTTCAAATTAGGGGGAAATGAAATTCTTTAATTTATTAATAATATTATAAAGAGTGCATAAAATTTCGGGTGCCGAAATACAGATTTTAAGGGCTTTGAAGTCGACTTAAGTATTTATATCATTTTGTTATCTAACAAACTTCTTAATCATCATGCATGCAATTGTGTATCTGTAAATACAACATCTTCATTAAATACTAACAAAAGCGAATTTGCAAATTTTCAAGACTATATATTAAGGCTTTGTAGTTATATATTTATAACTCTTTTACATACAAAATAATTTCCTTTTCTCAAAAGTTATTTAGTTATTTTTTATCCATGAACGTTCGAAATTCTCTCCCCCCACCCCTTTTTCCCTTTCTCAACAGGGGTGTTGCTGAAAATAAATGTTAACCAATAAGTTTATTAACTGCTGTATATCTAAGTAACATATCTCTCATTAACTCAAATATTATGGCCATTGTTGATAATCAACACTGAAAGTTTTGTATTCTTAGCCGCCGAAAAAAAGAAAGCCAACTTCCAAGAACCTGCCTTAGCCCCAGAGACATTTGCTCCCGAGGAATTTGCCGAGGAAGAGCGATTACAAAAAGAGAAAGATGCTAAACGACTGAGAAAATAACAAAGTAATCATTTGTCGAGTGCTTGTATTAGAATATTTTTATTCTGTTTATCCATGAACGTTTATAAAAATCCAGAATAGTAGAATAATGTCTAATGGTGTTTGTCCGTTAAGGAAAATGGTTCTTATTGAAATATGTAAACTTTTCTGTTTCGTTTCTGAAATAAAAGGAAATATTGCTAAGATTCAGTTGGTTGTATAATTCGTACACTACATTAATGTTTTTTTTTATATCCAATTGCTTTGATTAATGTCTAATTTCAGTTTTTTCAATTTCATTTCATAAATTACTTTTAATTCTTTTCCTTTTCAGACAGACGAAGCGCATGAAAATGAAGTGGAAAGCATATTGAAAATTAGAAATGTACAACAATTTTGCTTGAAGTAATGAATAATATCATATGCCGAGTTTAATAAACCATTATCTGCAAATATTATGTCTTATTCTTATTTGATTTTAAACACATTTATCTGTTTAATGTTAAATGAATCAAACATACTTTTATCAATGTTCACATCTGCTGCCAATACAGTTATAGCTAAATCACAATTAAACATTACCAAACATCTTGTTTGAATCATATGATAAAACAGACTATGGTTCTACTCAGGTGCCTGTTCGTGCCTGAAATAATGCACGGAAGGGCACCTGAGGTCTTCCTCCACCAGTAAAGCTGGAACGTCGCCGAATGACCTATTCTGTGTCGGTGTGACTTAAAACAAAAAAAAAACCACAAATAAAACAGACTAATTCAAATGGTAAAAAGCCAGACAAGCAGGTATATTAATGGTATGTTACCAGGTTCTTCACGGTTGTTGTTGTGTTAAAATATTAGTTTACAAACCATATGCTTGGCATATTGTCGTCTGCTAAAAATGTTTTAATTTCATAAAAACGTTCCCTCCAATAAAAGAGATTCCCGCCGCCCTTATGTTCACTCCCGGTTATTGTTTTTCTTGTCTTCTGGGTGCCCTGCTGTGGTAGCTCGGGTGTATCGGGGGCTGCGTCCTGTGAACGTTGCCGTTGCCATGTTGAACTTTTATATCGTGTTTTTTTAACTAGCTTAGTACCTGACAAGATGCTGTGGTGCCCGGCTTCCTTTCTGGTAGCAAGTTTCATGGAAAGGCTTTCTGCTGGGAAGGAATTAGAAATTTGATCCCGAAGACCCGCATAACACTAATGGGCTGTTCCAGTAGATACACACAAAATGAAATCTATATGACGGGCACTTTTTTATCCTGTGTATCAATTCTGTTGCTATTATACAATAGCTTTTAGTAGAAAAGTGAGCAATCTGTCGTTATGTCTTTGTTTCATTGTCTTTAACTTTCAAGGTGTAATTCTCACTTTCAATTTTCAAAAACAATACTTTTACCCATACTTTATCTTTATTTTTCGTGTAAATTTAAAGATAAAATATGCTCATCTTTGGATAATTTTTTTTTCAGAAATATATTAAAATCTAAACATAACCGCCAGTATTTATGACACAATATTGTGTGTAGGATTTAAAGCAAAAAATATCTACTTTGAGTTAAGCCAAAACTTGTTTATTTTATATTTACATAATGACTGTGTAGCAACTGTCAATATTTTCAAATATTATCTTTGAGCTTAGTATATCATTAAACACCAATTGTTAAAAAATATTAATAAAAAATAATACCAAACACAAATTTTTTTTCTTCCTATAAAACATTAAAACAAAAAAAGGGGTTTTTGTTCTTTGCTTTTTGATTTTTGGGATGTCTCCCAAAATTCCCAAAGTGGATTTCCCGATCGATGTAATACTTTTTAAATTCGGCACGGAAAAAGACTGATCGGGGAAAAAAACCCCAGTCCCTGTAAAATCAATTTTCCCAAAAACCGGAAAATAAAACAATTATATTTTAAAGACAAATATTTAAACAAATTTATGTCGTTTTTACTTTTTAATTAAATAATGCCCTTTGTAATTTTTATGGCAATATTAAAAATAATTTGGTATGTCATATTTTAAAAAGCTATTTTTTAAAAATTAACACGTCCCATTTCTTTTAACTAAAGGGCTGGTTTTAGCCGCCCCGGCTTTTCGTACTATATATTTATTTTCTTATCGGGACAATAAATAATTAATTAAATTATTGATTTTATTTGGCATTTTTTTTATAATATTATTGGCTTAAGGTTTTCATCTGTACTTATAATGTTAGAGTCATGTAACACATGCAAAATGGCATTTGTCAATAAAGCATGCATGTCACTACCTTTGTATATGTATATTGAAGTGACATAAGTTGTTATCGAGGCTTTCAATATGTTGCTGGTTTTCCTAGAAGTAACAAAAATAATATTCGAACATATGTTGACATACATATAATAATACATAAAACATATAATAATAAATGAGTGTACTGCTTTGAAACGTTTAACTCAACAGCAATGTTAATAAAAACAAATATCAAGCTATAGATTCACACATAAATTTACAAATTGCGCTTTCAATCTTAATCAATACAATAGAACATTTGAAGTCACAACCTCTTCTTTTAACTTCTTAACTCAATTTTCACGATATCACGATATTTTATACGTAAAGTAACTGATTTGGTTCCTTCAAAATACTAAAAAATATTGTACAATGTAATATCCCTAAATTTCTGTAGTATCACTAGTATAATCTACCCGGCATTTCAGTTAAAAAATCCTCCAGATACACAATAAATATATCATAATGGTGTCCTAACCCTACATTGAAGTTCCATATTGATTCTTTCGCTACATGCATTCCAATAGCCTCCGGCAATTACATGTAAATTCTGACTTATTCAAGTTGAAGTACTTCTTCTTTCCATACACCACCAATATTGAGGATCAAACTTCCAGAGCAAGTCGTTAACCTGCCTGCTATTGAATCCTTCAAACAGTTTCTGTGCTTCCTAAGCTCCAATCAGTTTTTTTACCGTGTACAGCACAATTGTTCTACACTCTCGAGATCTTTTATCATGTTACTCCCTTTCACTTGTGGTATTGCTTATTAAAACTAATTGAGTTTTCACAACCATTACTGTGAAAGAGCAATAATTAAAGAGCAAATAAATAAATACAGACACAAATTTTACGATTTTCAAAATAACTTATAGCGCAGCGAGTAAAAATCATTTTTGCATGCTTTATTGAATATACCTTGTATATAGCAAATAAAAATGTTTTTCATGGTTAACATGATTATAAATAGAGAACATAAAGCATGTTGCTTGGCATTTGCAAAAAATATTTTTTAAAAAAAAGCTTTAAACTGAATTTACTTGAAACTGGTGCCACAATTGACAAATGAAGCAAACGGTAAAATGTACGCCAAAAAATGATAACAATATAAAATATGTTAAGAGGATTTTTAAGTTTTCAGTACTCCAAGTTGATGGAAACCTTACTTTTTAATCATGCCATAGATCAGAAAATGCAAAAAACAACGAAATAGTAACTAAGTTAGGTTTTACACAGACTATTTCCAAGGTTTTACAAGTGTTTGATCAACTGGCTCATATTCTAAAGAAGATCCACCATTCTGTGAAAAATTATATTTCCCCCCGTAGACTGGCACATATCCCAAAGAAATTGATGCAGAAATAAAGCACTAGCATTTAGACACATTTGTCATGATAAAGTTACTTATAGCCCATGTTATCAACTTATAGCTTTACATTTTATGACCTCCCTTATCAATAGCTATGTAATTTAATAAACATTTTAGATTACTAAGAAATACTTTAGTAACTATTAAGTCACTTTACATCTGTTTGCAAATACAAAACGTTTGATATTGACAAAGTCGTATTTAAGATATTACGTGCTTGTTGGACCACTTGTTGGAGACAAAAAAAAACAGAAGTTGTATATGAAGGCCGCGATATTGTGACAGTTTTTTCTAAGTGAAATAAGGTGAACATTAAACATCAGTATCTATCTGCATGTTCATATATTGATCTCAAACACATATTTGATCTAGATGTTAGGACAAGTATATCATACACATACATTTCTCTTTAACCATTTTAATCTATTATTTACTTTGGTATCTAGTCTAGAAAAAATAATTTGGTACACACTTATCATCTCTGATCACTTTGTCAACGCCTATATATTTTGTCATTATGTTGCCGTTTAGTAGACATAAAATACATGTACTTTAATCAACCTAGATGAAGCCACTATGATCTTCATCTATTAGCAAGTTCGAGAAGGTAAATATTGACAAGGCTGTGTGTACTTTGATATACATGTATTCTTAAAAGGGCACAAAAGACAAATAAAAGGACACTATCATGCAACAGAAGTTGTTTACGCGACATGTCAAAATGGTGACAATTTTTAAGGTAAAATAAGATGAACCTTAACCATCAGTATCTTTCTGCATGTTGATTTACGACCTAAACGAACTAAATTTAGTTGAATATTTAATCAATTTCCAATTTCAGTTGGGGTTTAAATTAAGGTACTTTGATATACATATTAAGATTACTTTGGTATGCATATATTTTTTCTGTCAATATAAAGCCATTTAGGTAAGAGAAAATAATCACTTTAAACTTCCCGTAGCTATTTTGTTCGAAGACAAAGGATCGTTAAGACATGTCTTGGCTAAACGAACTAAAGGGCTTGGTACGGTTTGGGTCAATTTTGGCCCATCGGCAAAAAATATTCAAAATTTGATATATCAAAATTTAACTATATTTAAAACAAATGCAGCAAGATTGAGTCAGATATCTGTTTAGACAAAAAAGTTATAATAAATCAAAACAACCTATTAAGAAAATAAAAATACTACAGTTTGACGTCATCAACGTCACGTATTATTTTGAGCGCATCGCTTCGAGTAATTAAAAATATAATGACGCATATGTATTTTCTGATTTTTTTATCGTGTAATGCAAAAGAGTTGGTGATACATTTGATGTACATTTCTACCGTTCAATTACGATACGCAGACATAAATAATTAGTCACTGTGAAGTACATTAAAACAGACGAAAAGGAAGACATATACAACAGCCTTTATTTATATAATTTACTTACCCTATTTATGAAGTGTAGGGCCTATTCAGTTACTGCTATTTTATAAAATACACAATTACTTTAACAAGTTCATAGCTAAATTTTCGGCACTGAACCTTCTTCAGTTTTAAAAGGGCTAACCACCGAAATCTATGTACGAAAACCACCGAAATCTATGTACGAAAAAGGCACATATTCGTAATATTACCGCTATGACAATATTTTTTTATTCAGTGGTTTTATGTTATAACCTATTTAGTAAAGTTCAGAACTTATATGTATGCACATGTTTGACTATCATTATCATTATTACATCATCATTATTATTATTTTTATGATATTGATCTTTCACATAATCTGTAAGATGTATGCCTCGGTTACTTGACCTACCGGAATTGCC